CCGGGATTATGGAATTACAGATCCCGTTTGTTACAGAACCACGGAATCCCGGGATTATGGAACCACAGATCTCATTCATTAGAGAACCACGGAATTCCAGGATTATGGAATTACAGATCCCATTCATTAGAGAACCATGGAATTCCAGGATTATGGAGCCACAGATCCCGTTTGTTACAGAACCACGGAATTCCAGGATTATGGAATTACAGATCCCGTTTGTTACAGAACCACGGAATTCCAGGATTGTGGAATTACAGATCCCGTTCATTAGAGAACCACGGAATCCCGGGATTATGGAATTACAGATCCCGTTTGTTACAGAACCACGGAATCCCGGGATTATGGAATTACAGATCCCGTTCGTTACAGAACCACGGAATCCTGGGATTATGGAATTACAGATCCCATTCATTAGAGAACCACGGAATTCCAGGATTGTGGAATTACAGATCCCGTTTGTTACAGAACCACAGAATCCCGGGATTATGGAATTACAGATCCCGTTCATTACAGAACCGTGGAATCCCGGGATTACGGAGCCACAGATCCCATTTGTTACAGAACCACGGAATTCCAGGATTGTGGAATTACAGATCCCGTTTGTTACAGGACCATGGAATCCTGGGATTATGGAGCCACAGATCCCGTTTGTTACAGAACCACGGAATCCCGGGATTATGGAATTACAGATCCCATTCATTAGAGAACCATGGAATTCCAGGATTGTGGAGCCACAGATCCCGTTTGTTACAGAACCACGGAATTCCAGGATTGTGGAATTACAAATCCCGTTCATTAGAGAACCACGGAATCCCGGGATTATGGAATTACAGATCCCATTCATTAGAGAACCATGGAATTCCAGGATTGTGGAATTAGAGATCCCATTCATTAGAGAACCACGGAATTCCAGGATTATGGAATTACAGATCGCATTCATTAGAGAACCACGGAATTCCAGGATTATGGAATTACAGATCCCATTCATTAGAGAACCACGGAATTCCTGGATTGTGGAATTACAGATCCCATTCATTAGAGAACCATGGAATTCCAGGATTGTGGAATTACAGATCCCGTTCATTAGAGAACCACGGAATTCCGGGATTGTGGAACCGCTGGGGCTGGAAAAGACCTGGAAACCCACGGAGGGAGGAGCCCCACAGGGGAGGGCAGCGGGAGGAATTCCGGGCTCCTCATCCCCATCCCACATTCCCAGCAGGGCCTCCAGCAGCCCCAGCCCAGTTTTTTGGGAATTCCTGGGACGGGGGCGGGCGCCGGGCGTCTCCCGGCTCGGGGCCGGTCGGGACTCGCTCGGCTCCGGGCACGCGGAGCTTTCCCGGGCTCGGATCCCAACAAACCGGCCCGGCCGGAGCCGCTGCCAGCCCGGCCCGCCCGGCCCGGCGGGGATCCCGTGGGAATGGTCCTGATCCCACAGGGAATGGTCCTGATCCCACAGGGAATGGTCCTGATCCCACAGGGAATGATCGGGATCCCGTGGGAATGGTCCTGATCCTGCAGGGAATGGTCCTGATCCCACAGGGAATGATCGGGATCCCACAGGGAATGATCGGGATCCCACAGGGAATGGTCCTGATCCCACAGGGAATGATTGGGATCCCGTGGGAATGGTCCTGATCCCACAGGGAATGATC